ATTTTTTGAGAGAGGGGCGTTTCCAAAACTGATGTTTACCTTTAAGGTAAAATTATAAATTTCTCTAAAGTTTTCGCAATGAAAGAATAGAGAATGGATGACCACATTGACAATTTCAATGAAGTACAGTCCACTAAATGTACACTTCTCTCTTGTACAAAGGACGCAAGGAAAACCGTGTAACCTATAGACAGATGGATACACATTTACAAATGGCCTCATTAGTGAATTCCCTGGGTACATTTTGGCATGAGATTTGTAGTCCAGTTTGGTTGGGTTGATCCCTTTAATTTGCACATATGCAATGAAAATCAATAAAACCTCATTTCATGGCAATAGTGTTCACAGCTCTATCTTAGCAGACCACACTACATGCACAACATCCTCCAATCAATACTGCATCATTCCATCCATATACATGTACCCTTACTAGCTAGCTTGTTGTATGTGCGCATGATGGTACGAATCAAGCCTGTAATTACCAACCGACCACTATCTGGGCACTTTATTTTGGTCATGCTCTACGACTCATTACCAGTTGCACACAATATGATATCATTGTGAGACACTATTGATTGTAGTGAAACTGTTTTAGTCAAGATGAATGTGCTATAAAAATAAGCTTACGTGTCGTGTAAAATTGCAGGCTTTCCATTAATGCAATTGATTCATTTGCAGAAAATAAATCTATATTAGCTTCCATGCAATTTGATACTGTTATATGTTACATGTACAGTATGTAACTGGCCCAATACATGTAGAGTATATTGACATAAAATTACACTATACCAGTGAATTTTTTTGTAGTAGGATAGAGATCACTTTATGAACATGAGTTATTAAGTGCCACTAGTTAAAGGCAAAGACCAGTTATGGTCATGCGATTGCATTGTGAAAGAAACGTTGTGGAATCGATCAGAAAAGGTTGATCATCTAGCATCTAGCATCTGCAAGGTACTGGAATCATCAAAATGATAAGAAATTTGGCCCATTCTTTGTAAAGTTACAAGCACTATACACAGAAAGATGTACATGGGACTACCCTATATCTCTCACAGACCATGAGAGAAACAAATTTACCAAATATATGAATTAGTAGGCGGTTTCCCGGCAAATTTTTTGTCATCATGTATTAGTCAAAACATATTCTTTCACATGATTGGTAATGAGAGCTTCCATTTCATTTTTTGAAATTGGGGCGTTTCCAATACTGGTCTTTACCTTTAAAAATACCCAGTTAAAACACCAGTACGTGTTTGGGCACATGATAACATGATAAACATATATATGTTTACGACATATGATCTGAAGTAATCAATAAAGTCCTGAGCCTTTTAGTAATGATAGTATCTTTTATCTTATTGCAGTTTCTAAAAAATGCAGACTTCAAGCTTGTTGACTTCCAGGAGGTTATGAACTTGTCGACTTCTGAATTCGAACATTGCCCATAGGTTTAATACTGCCAGAGGAAAGTCAAACATATATTTATGAATACAAGAGTTGGACTACAAGACATTGATTTCCATGCTTGTATCATAAAAGAAATCAACCCATGTCCTTCTACACAAAGCCAACATCCTCTAAGCAGATAATACGATGTGTCTATCTGACATGCAGTTTAGTATCCGCAATCAAGGCATTTATGTTATGCATCAGCTCTTTATATCCCACACAAATATTTTCCCTGTGCCACATTGTATTTATCGTGGGTTAGATATATATATACCAAAGGTATCAAGATTATTGAACTGTTTCCGGTGCAAGGACAATCTAGATACGCGTTTGAAAAGGATTGTCATGTAACTAATCAAGACCAGAGATGGACAATTTTGCACAGCCATTGTGTTGCACAAAGCAGTTCTCCCATCAATTGGTGCCTTTTTGTTTTTTGAAAAATTGCATGTGTAGCAAACGAGCAACCATGCAGAAAGACAAAGAAAGCAACCAAAGAGTTAATACAAGTCAATTTGGAGGGTAAGATGACATCTACTAGTATATGAAGATAAGTCCTTACAATATCATAGAAAGAAAACTATATACTTAAGTACTATCATTAAAAGGAGATTTTGAGAAACTATAAGTACACCATCAACAAAAAAGCATATAATCAGTCTTCAGTTTCTTCATTCAAAGCCCCTAGTCCTACACCTTAGTTCCAAAATGCCAAACACAGCGTATCGAGTTGCTATAATTCAGGCATTACGGAGATTAAAAGCCAATAAAGCTGGCTAAGTTGTGCCTTGGACAAGTGCAGAAACAGCAGGCTAGGTCTACGGAGTAACTTAACACCGAGGAATGCCTCCAAATACCAAGCATAGCCCATGTCTGCTGCACTGTGTGGTATAGGGGGAGCAAGGAGGGTCTCAGTGCACTGATGACTATATTGAAACATCTACACTGTATTACATGTACATAAAGCTTGTATGCCATTTGAATACACTCTTTGAGCTTGGGTATATGTATAAGGGGAAAGGGGGAAGATATAGATAGCACGAAAAGCTAGGGATTTAAGATGAGTTTTTTTTTACATCTTGGGTGAAAAAAATGTGACTGGGGGATACACAATTAGAATATATCCATATAAGGTATTGGGTGGAGCACTGCTCTATCGGAGAGTTAAAAGTAGCTGTCAATCGATATGAAAAAGGGAGCAGGTTCAAAAAAAATTAACAAAATCACTCACAAAATGCAGTCTTGGGGGCAACAAATTCCTTGATGCAAACATTTCTTTGACATCAAAACTAAGTGAAAAAAAGAATATGCTGGGAAGTTTTTTTTTATGCATCTAAAAGCTGATGATCCAAAAGTTGATTTTCTGGATTCAATATTACAAAAAACTCCCTGAAAATAAGCACGTAAGCACTTTCACTACCTAGCTCTAAACATGTGATCAACATGGGTTTTAATATTGGAATACTGCCATCATGCAACTCAATAACATTGATTAGGTGTCACATATCAACTTGTGAAATGCATGATGCTAGCATAGATTTGTTTGCAATACACTCGTGTGCATCTATATATTCTCACATATATACGTTTCAGTACAAGTGTGTCTTGTGTCTTCCAGAAATGCATGGATAATTTTTATTCTAATGTTTCCCCATTCTTGGCATATAATATAGTATTAATGACTGCTTTGAGAGAAATAGTTGTTTTATTACGCTCAAGGGAAGGTTAGAATTGTGCTATTCCCCGAGGCTTGCCGAGGGGAATAGCCCAATTGTAACCTTCCCGAGAGCGTATGAAAACAACTATTTCTCGAATATTAAAGCAGTCATTAATACTTTTATATGCCAAAAAAAAATAGACTAAAAAATGAAAAATTAAAAATATTTATCATTTTTGTCGAAGACGGGATTCGAACTCTTGCGTACAACAAGAGGTGTACCGAAAACCAACGCTTAGACCACTCGGCTATGGCCCGCCGTTAACATGCTTGGCAGTTTTCTCCAATATATACATTAAAATGGATTGAAACCGGCTTCGCGTGTGATGAATGCTTCGCAAAAGCTCCATATACGGACTCTTCTTTTACTTTTGCAATGCATATTGGCACGAACTTAGATCAAGATCTATCGGCAGATGTTTTTTTTTTGTTTTTGGAAGTTTATTTTCGTCTTCATGTCAACAATGCAAGATAAAATTGTCGGTAAGATCGATCGAGATTAAATTGTATTGAAATTACCGACCAATCCTTCGCACACATACGGCATCCTCCATCGCTCAAACCATTTTTTAACATGTAAACCTATTGGGTAACCATGGAGGCTGACCAACTATTTTTAATAACCATGGTTATTAAAAATATTGAAATGTTTTAAGCATGGTTACCGAGAATTTTACAGGAACAGTTGAAGTTTATGAATGCAATTCGACCAATCAGATGGCTGGATTTCTTAAGTGAGGTATATAACAAATGTTATATGCCACATAACAAGAAGCTTGGCCTTTGATTGGTTAAAACTGAAGGCATAAAATTCGCTATTGACTGGTGGGCAGTATAACGAAAGTCAATTACTGGGCAGAGTTTTAACCACGCGTAGATTGCAAGGACGCGATGGCTGTATGTGAAGTTCACAATGGAAATGTGCAGTGAGATAGGGGTAATACTCATAGTTACCAATATATTGCAACATGCATATTTTGTTACAATATCTCCTTTTGTGAATTAACACAAGGTATGTGGTATAAAAAACAAATATTGACTGCCTATTTTTCTGGTCACAGTTAGAACTATAGCTTCTCGGTGATCTCAAAGCTGTACTATGCCCATCGACATAATCTCGGGACAGTACAATTTTAAGATCGCCTTGGTCAAATATTTTAAACCGTGCATCTCAAAGCAGTCAATTCGCACATTGCCCAAAGGTGTAATACAGGAACAACCCAGGGACCTGTTTCACAAAGCCCTTTTTCAATGACAAATGACAAAAATCGGTGACAAATCTGATGATAACCAATCAGAAGCAAGGATTTCAGTAGCTTATAACAAAAACTGTCATTTTGGCACAGATGACAAGGTTTGTGAAATGGGTCCCAGTTCCAGTGGGCAATGGGCCAAGCAGGTTATTTCAATTATTGGGTTTAAAAATAATTGAATGACCTTGAGGGTGTTACAGAGATAGCCAAATACTTATTACAAAATTATAATCAAAATATGGAGTCGGTAAAGAGTTGCAATGAAAGTGAGTAATGGGTGTTCCAACATATGCTACAGCAACAATTGCTGCAGGCTCCATTTTGTAAAAGATATAGGATTTAGGTAAAGGGTTGCAATTGGGTTTGAGGTTAGCTAAATACAAGTAGCGTCAGGATTAGGGTTAGGGTGAGTCATTGTGTTTCAGCCAGGGTTGAAGTTTGTTAGGGTTGAAGTTTGTTAGTGTTTAAGATTTTGACCAAGGAACAATCGTTGCTGGAGCGTGTGTTAAACAACCAAGCAATGGAGAAGTTAGAGTGGTAAGAATAGCTAATGAACAAGTACACATATTTAAATAATGTCATGGCATTTTTTTTCTTTTTTGAAAAGGATATTTCCACTCCACAATGCTGATACACATCCGTCGCATGGGATTGTCCAAGGTAAGACAGAAGAGCGACCTTGGGGGCCGCGTGGGCGCCCCAATGTGCTGCTTCTTCTTGCCATATTTCATGCTGTTGGCAGTATTGGCAGCAGCTAAGGCTTGAACCCAAGCATTACTGAGGGGCTGTTTTGCGACTGCCCCGTCCTGGTCTGGACCAGGTGGGTCTGGCGCTGCAGCTGCGTTGTTGCTGGGAGGAGCTGTGGTAGTTGTGGTAGCAGCAGCAACAGCTGGGGTGGTGGTGCTGCCTGCAGCTGCCGGGGGCCTGGTTGTTGGACCAGGGCGAGACAGAGGAACGGTCCCAGTAACGTAGGTACCGCTACTGCCAGTCCCTGCCGAAGCAGCATTATTGACCGGACCTGTGCAAAGGAAGAGAATAAAAGTGAAGAAAATGGGTAATAAATCAAATAACAAAGTAAAATTATGTTATCAATCATATTAAAAATGATAGTAACAATTTTTAAAAATGTTAGTTAAATCAAAAGAAATAACCCATTGTTTCCTGGAACCGGGTGTTCCCTGTGTTAAGCCTATGGGAATTGTGTAATTCAGTAGTGAACAGGTTAAACAATATCTCAAATCATATTGGAATTTAACAATTTTCATCAATCATTGAGTACCTGCAAGAATTTCCTAACTGCCATTGAAAATACACAGCTGCTACAATGTATGTCCTGCTGGCAAATAGCCAACAAATGTTGGGAAAGAAAATACAACATATATAAGATGATACTTCACATTGGTTTTGATATTATAATATGACTGATCATCACATCATAATCATTCTCACAATCATCATTAACATCAACATCATCTCCATAATGTTTTAATGTTTGAGAAAATAAGAGAATAACATCTTGTATTGAAAGTTTGAGTCAGGTGCACACTAAAGGTCGGTGACTCGAAAGATAAACATGTTTGTTATCTTTGGTAGATGGCAAGTCATTATTACGGGGAAACCCAAAGCATCTACCTCGGTGGATGTTATTGTGTGCCATCTTTGTTTCATCAAGGGATGATACTGAAAGAAGCTTCATTATTGAGTAACTGCAATGAGTTTCATGTTGAGTGAAATGATGTCATGTGACGATGTCATGTGACAATGTATTGTTTTAACCAATTGACTACGAGAAGCGGGTGGCTCCAGTACTAGCGTCTATGGGATTTGGAGACTGCGGTAGTTAATGGGTGAACATGTATAAGATTGGAATCCTGGCTAATCAGGGTTTTACTTTCTCCGGCAAAAGTCATATTTGACGAGAGTAGATTCTTCAAGAACGTATTAAACATATGCACACACTGATAGCCAATAACATATTGAACTGCTCTCCGACATGAAAGGTCACTTGATCTAACAGATTTTCCTTTTACAAGAGCCATACATATAGCTACATTAGATTGCTTTAAACATGAAATCCCAGTTAAAACAAAGCTAAATATCACAGTAGATATAAATGAAACATCACAATCTCTCATTACTGTAATCCAGTAACCTCACAATCATCAGGGAGATGGAAACGACCCATCTTCCTGCAATCATACAAGATGTATCTGTTTAGGAGGACTCTCAATCTAATGGCCACAAATTAAAGAGATAAGGAACAAAATCAGAAAGGGAGAGGGGAGGGGGGACATAAAAGGAAGATGGGACATAAAAGGAAGATGGGACATAAAAGGAAGATGGCAGACATAAACTTTGTTCCAAATCTCATTCCTTATCACTTCACTTTAAAAAAAAAAAAGGTTGTCTAGCAACAGAGAATTATGAATAATTGGCTTTTAGTCACATTTTTAGAAATCTCTGCCATGTTTGATATTTTCTTTTCCACAATTACATATCCACTTTGAATGATCTTTATGTTCCATGTTAAAAGGTGTGATTGACAACCAAAATAATTTTATATAGAGTAATTAATACAAGAAAATTGTTTGAGGTCATGAAGGATCCAAGAAATAAGCACAGCTGCTACCATACTTAAAGTGTGTAAGGCTCTAAAGATCAGTTAACGAGCTCATTAGTGGTTTCGTAATCAAATTCAAATGATGATGTACACTGACCTGTATAGGGTTCCTAAGAAACCCTGCAGTTCCTACTTCCATTGTCCAAATCTTCCATTATTTTCATCGAATTCATGCTCGTTACTCATCAATTCATAGTTTGTGAATGCCTTAGGGGTCTAATGCACTGATTAGTTGTAAGTGAAAAACTGAATATTTCAAAATAGAGAGTGAATGCAATTCGAATCCTTTGAAATGCATTATCAACAGATGCATTGAACATGTTTCAGGTTATCAAAGGTTGAACAAGTTTCAACTTTTGACATTATAAATGTGGATATAGAGTAGCATGTCAGGTAATATTTTATATATCATGAAAAGTCATAGAGGATGCACTTTCAATCTGATCACATAATTTGAGATATATTCCTGTCTTTTTTTAATTAATTTTTTTAATAATGACAAGCATAATTTCTGTCCAGTTTACAAGATAAAATATGATTGCTTAAAATAAATAATCATAATCTCACTTTTACTTCATATTAAGAATACATAACTTTAAATATCTATTGAATCTTGATCCATATTGGTTTTCAAGACATTATTAATCACCTATAAATCATGCAACTGCAGATGTCAAAGAGTCAATATCCAGGACGAATGCCTACCATTTTATCTTTTATTTTTAAATTCCTACCCTTTGATTGTTCTTAGTGACATAAAGATTTATGTCATAGTTGTAAACCTTTAATAACACCATAATTGCCTTTTTAAAATTGCATTTAGATTAGATGTTGAAATCTAAACAAACATCATCTTTCTGCTTTATGTTCTAAATAATGATAAGAATCATTACAACTGGAATTAAAGTCTTCTAGTCAAAATAAAAGCAGAATCAGCTTCAAATCACAGACAAAAGCACTACATGTACGGGTATGACGTCACCATGATTCTCAGCCGACTTAGCTTTTCCTCCTCAAAGAAACTTCTAATCTATTAAAATTTAGATCTTATTACCGGTAATCATATGACTATTCAGATCATTAGTCAATAAGATTTTAGAAGTTTGAATGTTCATTGCAATGGACCCGTTTACTAACATATTCTAACTTTATGCATACTTTTAGTAAACAAAGGTTGTTCTTGACAACCTAAAGGCTTGTCCAATGCTTGCCTGACATAGCAACAAGTAATGTGTGCAGACTGGATTCTAAGTATTGTAGTTTATTCAGGGGCTAATGGAATAACTCATCACTAGGTCCTCAAGAAAGAAACATCAACAAATTTGAATATGTTAGTCTATTCTTCGAAAAACGGATTGTCGCCAGATCGCATAGTGTTCTGAGAGATTTATTACATTCTTGCCTATTAATCTACAAAATTCCCCACCAAAGTATGATGGCATTCTCTTCTCGACATGGGCATTGCCCTTTTCTTGATAATGTGACGTAATATATGAAGTCGTTTATCAAGTAATTGTATTCATATGGATGCTTCCCTCTCAGGGGCTTGTGGTAATGAAGCATTTCATTCACCTACTATAATCCTTTGTACTACAATTGCCAGGACGCGAATTGCATAAATAAGTTGGTTCTTTTCTGGGATGAAGGCTCTTCATAAATTAAATAGATTTGTCAACTGATATATTCTAGTATTTTTAAATAAATGGGTTACAATTGTCCCTATTTTCATGAAGTGACGGTAGTGAGGAAAATCATAATGCAAAGTGAATGCAATTTTTTTTCACTACCGTCACTTCGTGAAAACAGCGAAGAATTGTTCACCAAATATAATTTCTATCTTTTCAGCTATGATTTTTTTTCAATTGAAAAGTAAACATTTTTTTATTGATTTAAAATGTCTTTCAAACTAAAGCTTGGTGCATGATACATGTACAACTTCAACTGGTACGTCACGTCACAAGAAAATGGCAGTGCCCATGTCATGCTTAAAGGCATTACATCATGCAAAGAATATCTTCATTTATATAACTCTTGTCAATTTTCATAAGGAATGTTGTACATCAAAGGTCAGGAATACATCTCATTTTCAGAATACATACACTTATTCTTTATTCACACGAATGACCTCTATCCCAAATATGTAATGATACAATTTCAAAATCATGGATAGGATTTAATTCTACATTCATCTTTTCCCAATCGAAAGCCAGATTTTCTTCAATATTTTGATTATGTAAAATATAAAGGTAAAACCTTTTTTCATCCTACTTCATATAAAGGCGTAAAATACAGATGGTGTAAGTGGATATCAAACACAAACAAGAACATCTTAATTTTTCTTACATTCTGATATTGTGAGATGTTCCAACATGTTATTGTATAATAAGATTTTTAACCCCAACTTTCATTGAAAAATGAGGCTTTGTTGTTGTTTTTGTTCATTATTGCCTTAACTTGCTAAATATGATTTCCTTTGAGTATGTGTTTTCAATACACCACAACCTAAGTTATCTCAGGCTTTAGTATATCATATCACATCCTATATGCGTACGCAGTTATTGAAAAGGCATAATTTATCAGAAACTGCCTCTATATGACTCGGTACCTCTTTAAAAACAATTTTGAAATCACTCTCAAAAAGTTTTTAAACTTCTACATATAAGCTTTTCACCGATATGTAAAATATAAAAGTAAAAGCTTTTTTCATCCTATTTCATATAAAGGCGTAAAATACAGATGGAGTAAGTGGATATCAAACACTAACTAGAACATCTTAATTTTTCTTACATTCTGAGATTGGATTGTGAGATTTTCTAACATGTTATTGTATAATAAGATTTTTAACCCCAACTTTCATTGAAAAATGAGGCTTTGTTGTTGTTTTTGTTCGTTATTGCCTTAACTTGCTAAATATGATTTCCTTTGAGTATGTGTTTTCAATACACCACAACCTAAGTTATCTCAGGCTTTAGTATATCATATCACATCCTTTATGCATACGCAGTTATTGAAAAGGCATAATTTATCAGAAACTGCCTCTATATGACTCGGTACCTCTTTCAAAACAATTTTGAAATCACTCTCAAAAAGTTTTTGAACTTCTACATACAAGCTTTTTCATTAAACAAAACAATAAATATGTATTCAATCGTTGTCATAAGCACTAAATAACATAATAATATTTTCATCATCATCATCATCATTTTCATTAATTTCCTTTTCACCCTTATAAACATCATTTTCACTACCACTCCAATAACCTCCATTACCACCATCATTACTGTCATTATCATCACTATCACTTTTATCAGTACCGGTATGCATCATCATCATCATCATCATCATCATCATCACCATCATCATCATCATCGTCAACATCATCGTCATCATCATCATCATCATCTCTATAGCATTATAATCCCCACTACTGTCAATCATTGTGATTATCACTTTTATCAGTATGCATCATCATCATCATCATCATCGTCATCATCATCATCGTTGACATCGTCATCATCATCATCATCATCATCTCTAGCATCCCCACTTCTGTCAATCATAGTGATCAACAACTAACTTCATCACCACCATCATGCACCATAACTATATATTGTCATTTTAATTTCAAAACATTACTGATCCTAAAAATCATTAATTTACATTCCAGTCCTTCCTATTTTCTCTACACATCAGATATGAACCCTTTTCACCTCACGTACAATACAAAACGTCGCCACCACCAACAACACCAACACGGTCAATGCTTGCCGCATCTCTGCGAGCAGGTCTAGACTCTCGAACACGGTTAATAAATTGATAACGTTTGATAATGATTTTACCGGTTCGTTGGCGTTGCATGATTGCGTTTTCCAATTTACGACTGTCTCCAACGAAAGATGCGAAAGTCCTGGATATATCCAAATTACATATTAACAGTCTAGTCTGAGAAAACTATATACGATGAACCTAAGTAGGTTATTTCCATCCAAAAGACATCACTTTCTCCGACGATTTAGGCACACAAATACGGGTACGAGCCTCTGCTCAGTCGCTTCTGCACGGGCAATCGGCCGGGTGGAGGAAACCCGTTGACGCCCCTTGAAATTATTCGGTGGTAGCAGCTAGCAGCAGCATCAGCAGCGCTTGCGTGCTGTGGAAAAATCACTATGGTGTTCGCACTGTCATCTTTTCCACTGCATATTTCGCACGCTGCGATGACGCGGAGAGATTACGTGAAATTATTACAGAACTTGATGACTGTCGTCTCTTCGTCGTAATAAAACAGGCATTAATGAATTTGGCAAAGCATTATCATTTCTTTTGTCTACTCCATCTTCCCCCCTTTGTTCTAGGCGTCATCATGACGACAGATTGATTAAATATACCTAACGTGAAAATAAGCGAGCTAGGAGTATGTGGTGGGGGGGGGGGGGGAGGATTAACTAAAAATGTTTAGGTAATATTATGCAGAACCTCTTTGGTGGTGGAGTGACGATATCATTGTGAAAGCCCTTATGATTCTACATGTGCATGTGATATTCTGTTCCCACTTCAAAACAAAAAAAAAAAAAAAAACAGTGGGCGCCCCAATTTTTTTTTTAATGTGGCCTGTGATCGTTTTTTCATTAATCCAATTGGATACAATACGTGCATTCTAGATTTTCTGGGTTTTTTCTTTTAAGTGACGTGTCACCACACTTTTCAAGAATGATACAATTTATTAATTGGGCCTACAATCGGGTGAGTCATGTCGAATATTGTTCAAAATTGTATTAAGTTAAAGAAAAAAAACTTTATGTCAAACATAGAGGCGTCAGGCGATTGTGGATATTCGAAAAAGGGGAAGGGCCTTTTATAACAAGCATTTAAATCTATCTCTTCACCTGTGTAACATTCCTTAGCAATGACGATTTTAGATGAGAGGGGGATGCCATGGCAAAAGTTGCAGTAGCCTTATCAATATTCCCGTCTCCCTTCATGAAGCTAAATATTGTATCCTCCCTCGATCCCCTATTATAAGAGCGGACATCTTGTCCGTTTTGACAAGTTTATTCAGGGTGGTAATCTCCTCTATCCGTTTTTGTATGTTTTCTTAGTTATGTTTGTTTGTTTTTCTGACTGTGTGTTTGTTTTGTTGTTTGTGTTTTTGTTTAGCTTGTATACAATAGGCCTATGGGGAGTATATCACCTTTAATTCATTTGAACTAAATACCCGCACAGAATATTATTATATCATAATCTCCATCGCCTCTTCATCTTTTTCTTGTTCTTCTTCTTCTCCTCCTCCTCCTCCTTCTTTTCTTCTTCTTCTTCTTTTCTTCTTTTCTTCTTCCTCTCCGTTTTCTTCTTCTTCTCCTTCTCCTCCTTCTCCTCCTCCTCCTTCTCCTCCTCCTTCTTCTTTTCTTCTTCTTCTTCTTTTGCTTCTTCCTCTCCGTTTTCTTCTTCTTCTTCTTCCTCTCCGTTTTCATTCTTCTTCTTCTTCTCCTCCTTCTTCTTCTTCTTCTTCTTCTTCTTCTCCGGCTTCTTCTTCTACTTCTTCTTCTTCTTCTTCTTCGGCTTCTTCTACTTCTTCTTCTTCTTCTTCTTCTTCTTCTTCTTCTTCTTCTTCTTCGATTCGTATTTGTATTCGCTAGAATGCATTTAGGCTACATGATATTCCTAATCTTATTCATGAACATTTTATATAAACTTCTTGCGTATAAATTAGGTTAGGCGTATACCAAATATGATAAAATAATATTTTTAAAAAACACCTATCGAAGCATTACTATAAATGGACAAGAGTCTGCATAGCATTATTTAAAAATATTTTTTAATGAAAATTAATAGTCTACTTGTACATTTCTTAACATCGGATTCAGAAAGGGCAAGAACTGGTCGTAAATTTTCTCAATAGATTATGACTGTCATGCTCTTTATCCGTCCATTTGATGTACCCCGAGATATAATGTGGGGATTTTGACGATTTATTCTAAAAATGAATTTAAGACATTATTCATGACCAGCTTCTAAACGTTTAATCGTCATTACCAAATACGATTTTTTTTTTTTTTTTTTTTTTTTTTTAATTAATGTCTGTATTTTTTGTTGTTGACGCCCTAGAGCTCCTCTTGTCATTTAATAAGGGATCTAATCGCCTTATATTCTTAGAGTTTCCCTTAGTTTGAGGCAAGAACAATCATTTTCAATATGATTAATACGTAGCAAGTTCAAACCTGGGGAGAATAAGCATAGGCCTAATATAGGCCGTCAGTTATTCTGCAGCGAAAGTGTTTTTTCCAGTCTTCTTGCTCTTTCTCCTTTTTCTTTCTTTTTCATTTGTAATTATGCCCCAGGCCAAATGACATGTTTTTTAAAACTTTTAAACAAGTACCTGTTTAAAGGCATATATTATATCAAATTATCTAACTTCTTTGAATAATCGCTATAGGCCTATATATACCAAAAACATTAACAAAGATTTGTTATTTAGTTTGCATCATTTCTTTAAATTTTTGATAATGTTATGCTCAATTTATTTATCTTTAAATATACTTAACACAATGATAAGTCAGCAATAGGCTGCTATTTTTATTGACCATGATGTAAACAAAATTGATTGTTTCCAATCGATTAAAAGTTTTTAACTATACATTAAATTTGGCCAGCTAATTGACATGATTGAAATACTAGGCATTTTATGTAGCTTATTCAATTGCGTTCTATTAAAGTGTAATCTCTTTTGTTTAATTGAGAACTCTGTTATTTTATTTAGATAGAATGTAGATAAATAACCCATTAACTGATTAATAAATGCCCCTTTTCCCCCTACCACACCAGTCTGTAAATACATTCAAATATGTCTTTTGGTAGAAACCATGAAAATAATAATTTCACGACTTGTGTACAGTTGGGTCTAATCTGACTTTAAAAATAGAAACAAAGCATGATTTCAAATTCGGTCCAAAACCAAAAGGATAATGTCATCGTATATGATGGCGCTCTGCAGGTCTTGGAAGATACATCACTTTCATCATGCATGTATTTTCATCTGCATTTGGATATACTTGTCTGTCCGTGTCACTCTGATCTCGTCTGTTTAAGTCTATTGATTGTCCTTACAGTTGTGAACAGAATTTGTCATAAATCTATTTAAGGATCGACTGGGAATATTATGTTTAACAGGTTAAAGGTTAACAGTGTGATAGTGCGTTAATATCTTAGGAATAAAATTTCATTTATAATAGGTCATTTTATATTTTATTGAATCCAATCAGCTTTAATAAAGTTAGATGCTGCTGTAGGCCTATGACATGAGTGGAAAACAAACAACAACAACAACAAACCTTAAAGAGAAGAACAGAGGAGGAATATGAAAATGAGAAAAGAGTAGCATGATCCCAACAGCTTATACACTAATATCACGAAAAGAGATTGATCTTCGGTGCACGATCGGCCTTCGAAATTATAGATTTTAGGATTACATACAATAATGTACATGCAATATTATCTGCGATTAAATTTTTCAGTGGTGATGCTGAGGGGTGCAAAATTGTTTGACGAGCTAGAGAGAGGGAGAGAGAGAGAGAGATGGGTGAGGAATAGAGAGAGGGTGAGGGCCGATGAACATAAAGACAGGCATGGACTATAAGAGAAAGGAAGCAGGGCCCAGTTTCTCGAATTCGTCTAACTTCTTCACTATCACATTGTTAGACTTATAAATGAATATTTTGTGGAATAAGTTTTTTGTCGGATAACATTTTTGTCAAAAAAAATGTGTTAAATAAAATTTATGTCGAATACAATTTTTGGTCGAATAGACTGTCAAATAAGATATGTCAAATAAGATATGTCAAATAAGATATGTCAAATAAGATATGTCAAACAAAATTTGTTGTCAAATAACGCTTGTCAAAAAGTTTCTGAAAGTGTTAACTAGATCTATATACATATGAGTGAATTTTTTGTGTGTGTGTGTGTCGCACAAATTTATTTGTTTCCCTAAATGCGTGCCATAAACGGGCCCCAGAACACAGACAGATTCATGGATTGCACAAGGGCTTGAACAAAGGGTTATGTTATTGCGCCATCTTCGGCGACAGTCATTACAGTTAATCAACTTGGAAAAATGGCGACAGACGTAGACAAGGCTGAAGCTCAAATGAACCTTACTGCTCTTCAGCAGTTCGATCCATACATTTCCTACATTTTGCTGAAGGCTAGTCAGGTTGCTCTCTACTTGTTCAATCACGCTGCTAATGAGTGGGTGAGTATGAGTTGCTTGAAAGTATGAAAAACAATAATAGAAGTGGACACAAAATTTCTTGGTATTTTGCCAGTCCCACATGCTGTAAATCATGTGGGTACTGAAATTGTGTTTTCATTTCATACAAAACAGCACATGTTAACGTGTTCTATGGCCTCCGTATACTAACAACAGGACACATATGCCTGTATTTTTTAACATATGACAAAATGCTATTTCAAACCGATTTCATGGTCTTTTTCCTCTCCCCGTTTTCTAACTTAATTATTCTGTGGCAAAAAATATTTAAAAAAAATAAAATTTCCATTTGTATGCGTAATCGTATGCAGTAAGCAGTACTGGTCAGAATGATTATATCCTCTTAAACTTGGACAAAATGTGTCCTCAAAAATAAGGATCATCTGCATTTCGCGGACGTTTTTTTTCATCTGTGCTCTGAGGGTTTTGAGTTATCGAACCGCCCACTGGTGATGCAAAAAAAAAAATAACCTTGGTTCACCGTCTACTTTTATGGGTTGTCCGTCTTCCCAAGGATTTATCGCTCATAATGTGAACGTCTCTGTACAAAGTCAATGTAAAATGCATCAAGAAAATCATCTCGGAATCCTTTTTTTCGCATCGCCAACGCACCAAACAAAAATATGAAACATCTGCGAAAATGCAGATTATCCTGATTTTTGAGGATGCATCTGTCCGCGTTTACGCAGACGATCCTCATTCTCGGACCAGCGCCCCTATTAGTAAGGAACAGCAATGTCAATGATTATGAGACCGCTCACTGGAACTTGATTAGTGTGTGAGCACACTTCTGCTTTCTTTAATATGGTGTATGGCATCTAATCATAATCGACAAACAAGTTCCTTGCAGTGAACTTGTTACTTGTGATCAAATCACAAATAAAAATGAAAGTAGTTGCAAACATTACAAACTAGGTCCAATGTCTATGCTTCATGTTCACCACTCCAGCAAAGCATAGTAGTCAATGCTAATGCGTATTGACCTCTAGCGCTGTATACGTGCTGAGAGGCATCAATTGCACACATTGC